CCCCCCCCCCCCGCCCACCCCCTAACCACACTCATTAGGGAGCTTAAGCATGTAGGACGGCAACACGACGACGACGGCAACCAATACAATGAGTCAATGAAAAGAAAGAAATAATTAAAGTCCCAGGAGAGTTTCAGACGTGGTCGTCGTTCTGTTTACAACGGCAAATCACAGATTTTCACGTCTTTTATACAACGTCTGTACTTCAAGCCGTAACAAGTGCAACTTAAAATTCGGTCAGTAGAACTCTTCCCAAACATAAAGCCAATGTTTTCAGCTTCCTATACTGTATTAAATTCATAGGAATTATAATATACGACAAGTTTTCTTTACTATCATTTATTTGAAGGAATTTGTTTTCGCCGTCGTCGTCGTGTTGCCGTCCTACATGCTTAAGCTCGCTATTCAAATTCGATCGGCATTTATTGCTTTCTGGAAAAACAACTCCACGCAAAACAACGCGGTTTTAAAATCTAACCACTAAGAAAATTGTTTTAACAGGTATAAACAAAGAATTATGAATATTTAATATACAATATAGATACTTCAATTTTTGGCACCCGGACTTTAAGGGTTTTGATAAAAGCTGTCGGGACTTGTTTCTCATCAGAAACTGCAAAATTGGTCTCGAAGGAAAGTGGGGAGGGGGGGGGGGGGCAGACGCCTCCATTCCTATTCGTGTCCTCGCCACCGAGTTGATGTGATAAATTCATTATTATAGCAACGGGCAAAACAGGTCCCAAACTGCTTTGTAATTGTTTTCATTTTTTGCGGCTGCAACAACTACACGTCTAGTTTCATTTTATAGAAAATATTATAAATATTTAATTCATTGCGCAGTTCAAATTACTTGGTGAAGCTAGCTGGCAGAGTCGATCTGAAATCGAAGAAATTTTATGTAAGTTGGAAAATTATTTTTTTAATTGTGTGTGAAAAATGTTAGAAGTTTCCGTCGACTGCTGCACGGCCGCATGCAATGCCGGGAACAAAGAATTCGAAATTAATTGACGTTTATATTTTGGCACACATTCCTCAAAACTTGGAACTATTTTCGACGTTTTGAAGGTGCTTCGTCCGACCGTCCGAACCAGACCTATATTAAGGGCTAAGGGGTGTATGTCATGATCAGTTAAAGTGTTTTCCATGTGTATGTTATTGTATACACAAGGTTTAATAAACCCGAATTACGGTCTGTTTGTCAGGATTCAACTACATGAATTCAACTACTTTTCGAGCGAAGGTCACTAACTTCCTTCGTCGTCACTAACTTCCCTATGGAATTATTTTTGTTTTGCCCAAGGCGGTCGGTCTGTGTTGAAAAAGCCAACGCCTTCGTCGCCGGGAAGTTAGACGACAAAGAGCCTTCGCTCGAAACGTCGAATTGGCACTGTTGAATCCCTCGTAATCCGACAATCTCACGGTTTAGTAAATCCATCATTTACACGTTTTTAAATCCTTATCCTTTGCATATATGACCAATGAATGATATTTTTAATATGCCATACTTTGAGTCTTAGTTTTTAATTAGGTTTTGACAATTTTTACAATTAGCAATTAGGTTATATTTACTGTGTCGAAAGAGAGAAATTAGACGATATGTCATATACAAACTGTTTGAAAAAAACTGATGAGATAAGCATTTAGTTTATAATTGTTTTAGACTACAGCAATATGGCTCATCAAGAATGGAAGACCAAATTCGACGACCAGTTCTGTGACCTGGATGACCCGTGGAATTTGGAAATAGTAAGCAATGTAGAGCAGGAAAGCGGATGGCTAAAAATGCAACGTAAGGGAATGGCAAGGTTTGAATGCAGCACGTGCAGCAATAAATGGACGTCCGTTAACGGTGGAGCAATATTTCGCTATCGTCTTCCTCCTTCCCAAAATGAACGACGTGGTAACGTGAAGCTGTTTCTAGGAGGACAAAAGTGCAAGAATTGCGACAACGTATTTGAAACAGCAAACTGGGAGGATTCAGACGTAGAACGTGTGATCACAGAACTGCTGAATAAAGTGCAGCAAAAGTTCTATGGTGAAATTGATGTTCCCATCACCAGTGCAACTGCAGAGAACAGATATATCCCGGCAGATATGTCTGCCCCGCATCAAACGAATCTTTGTCAGTTGTGTGAGCAGGGAGTGTGCCAATATAGTCAACAAAATGATATCGACAGCATCGCAAGTGACTTGGAACACTTCCGACTCTGACGACTATACGAGGACAACGAGAAAATGCATCGGAGTCAGATTGATTTTTAACATTTCACTCTTTGGGATTTAAACATTCGTTTATTATTAACACATGCACAATGCGAAGGCAATGCATGCATGCTCTAGAAATAATGCTACTCACTAATTTCAAATCTATATTAGGGGCTGTTTATATGGTCCCGCTTACCCGGGATTCAATGAAGTGTGACGTATTTTGAGCAATTGAAATAAGTCTTACTTTATGATCTAACAAAACTGCTCGTTACACATTGTATGAAATTCCACGTTTTAGACAAAAAAACAAATGTTGTTGAATGCTATTAATCGTCTTCTTCCACTACATAACTTCTAGCGCGTTCCTAATTTCGTTTACACAATATTTATAAAGTTATCTAACTTTTGTTTAGAGTTGAAACACGTATTTCAGTTGCTCTAAATACGCCAGACTTCATTGAATCCCGGGTAAGCGGGACCATATACCATATAACTTTAATTTAAAATTAAAGCCAGGATATTTTGTTGTTAAGAAGAGAAATACTGCATGTATTTGCAAAGGCCTGATTCCACGACGGCAAAATTCTTCGCGAGAAATTGTGTCTGCGAAATATGGATGGTTGCACACATGAGCGACTCCACAACCTCGTACGCAGGGTCGACTTGTGGAGAAAAAACCCTGGTAGACGCTGGTCACGTGATCTGCTAAAATCTAGCAGATTTCTAATGAACTATCTTTGATTCATACAAGAAGCAAATTATAAACTAAACTATAAAAATTACCCAAATATCAAATATTTATTGACCTCATCTTGGATTTCTAATTAAAAATCTGCTAGATTTTAGCAGATCACGTGACCAGCGTCTACCAGGATC